CGAAAAAGATCTTGGGGTCCTTGTGGACAACAAGTTAAACATGTGCCAACAATGTGATGTGGTGGCAAATAAGCCAATGGGATTTTGCCCTGCATCAATAGGAGCATAGTGCTTAGATCTAGGGAAGTCATACTCCCCATGCTCTATTCTGTCTTGGTTAGACCACACCTGGAATACTGTGCGCAATTCTGGGCACTACAATTGAAGAGAGATATTGACAAGCTGGAATACTGTGTCCAGAGGAGGGCGGCTAAAATGATTAAGGGTCTGGAGAACAAGCCCTATGAGGAGTGGCTTAAGGAGCTGGGCATGTTTAGCCTGAAGAAGAGAAGGCTGAGAGGAGACATGATGTTGTTGTTCATTCGTTCAGTCGTCTCCGACTCTTCGTGACCTCATGGACCAGCCCATGCCAGAGCTCCCTGTCGGCCGTCACCACCCCCAGCTCCTTCAAGGTCAGTCCAGTCACTTCAAGGATGCCATCCATCCCTCTTGCCCTTGGTCAGTCCCTCTTCCTTTTGCCTTCCACTTTCCCCAGCATCATTGTCTTCTCCAGGCTTTGCTGTCTCCTCCTGATGTGGCCAAAGGACTTCCACTTTCCCTCTAGTCTCCTTCCCTCCAATGAGCAGTCGGGCTTTATTTCCTGGAGGATGGACTGGTTGGATCTTCTCGCAGTCCAAGGCACTCTCAGCACTTTCCTCCAACACCACAGCTCAAAAGCATCTCTCTTCCTTCGCTCAGCCTTCCCTAAGGTCCAGCTCTCACATCCGTAGGTGACTACAGGGAAGACCATGGCTTTGACTAGGCAATGGATCTTGGTTGCCAGTCTGATGTCTCTTCACTATTTTATCGATATGGGTCCTTGCTCTCCTCCAAAGAAGGAAGCATCTCCTGATGTCCTGGCCACAGTCTGCGTCTGCACTCATCTTTGCACCTAGAAATACAAAGTCTGTCACGGCCTCCACGGTTTCTCCCTCTATTTCCCAGTTGTCAATCATTCTTGTTGCCATAATCTTGGTTTCTTTGATGTTGAGCTGCAACCCGGCTTTTGCGCTTTCTTCTTTCACCTTGATTGGAAGACATGATAGCCATGTATAAATATGTGAGAGGAAGCCGTACCAGCACAGCTGGTCTTCCCAACACACACACACACACACACACACACACACACACACACACACACGGAGTTATACTTGAAAAATGTCATTGCTCCGACTTGCATACTAATTCAACATAAGAACCTCTCTTGCTCGTAACCTGGAGAACTTCCTGTACAGATTTTAGCTGGGGTTTTGCAATCCCTGGGATGGTGGAAGGAGCTTCAAATGGCAACAGCTTTTGGAGCAGTGGTTTTATGGTATTTGTCCATTAAAACCTAATCGCGACTGGTATTATTTCCTTGTGCACGCTCCGTAAAACCGGGGCTTCCGCTCCGGCGTAGATGGTGCATGACTAAGCAGGGAGGACGGCTCATTGATTCCCACCAGACCTGCTTTGGGGGAGGAAACACATAAAATCTGGGATGAAATGGTCCCCGTATGAAAGCCTTCCCTTGGGTGGTGGGCAGTAGGGCATTTGTGGAGGACATAGGCATGGCTCTTGGACATGTTTACGGCGCTCACTATAACCTTCAGTGGCATTGGAGGGAGGGCCATTGGTGCCTCCTGAGTAGTGGGGACTATAGCTATTTGTGGAAGTGGCAGCTTGTCTGTGTAAGTGGACACCCCAGCCACACACACCCATACATATTTCCACGTTTATGATGTGTATAGATATGCCATCACTTCCAGAATCCGCCTTGAAATACGACGGTTGAGTTATGAGCTGTCTTCACTTCCATCCTTCACCTTCCACATACATCTTTATCCGTCTGTTAAGAAAACACAATCCTGTGCGAACGGGCGCCCATCCCAGACCTTCTGGAAAACTACTTCGGGAGCGGCAAAAACTGGGTCATATGACAACTGAGCTCTGACTTTGGAGAAATCTGCCTTTCTCATTTTGTGGGATTTTCAAGGTGGAACCGAACCAGATTTGCTATCCATTCATCACACTGATGGAGAATCTAATAGCCAACATGTTGGACGTCAGTGCAGCATTGACCCATTTATTGTGATGATGATGATGATGATGATGATGATGATGGCTTAGAGGGAACCTCCCTCCATCTTGAGAAACACAACATTTTCAAGGACCCCAACTCTTTGTTGATTTAAGTCTATATCGCAAGCCATGTAAAGCCTGTAGAAAACAGACAGACCCCGAAGGCAGATTGTGTTGTAAATTTGGGATGGTGAACTAGATGCTAGCTTCTAATGTAGTGTTTCTCAACCTGGGGGTTGGGACCCCTGGGGGGGTCACAAGGGGGTATCAGAGGGGTCACCAAAGACCATCAGAAAATACAGTATCTTCTGTTGGTCATGGGAGTTCTGTGTGGGAAGTTTGGCCCAATTCTATCGTTGGTGGGGTTCAGAATGCTCTTTGGTTGTAGGTGAACTATAAATCCCAGCAACTACAACTTCCAAATGTCAAGGTCTATTTCCCCCAAACTCTGCATTTGGGCATATTGAGTATCCATGGCAAGTTTGGTCCAGATCCATCATTGTTTGAGTCCACAGTGCTCTCTGAATGTAGATGAACTACAACTCCACAACTCAAGGTCAATGCCCACCAAACCCTTCCAGTATTTTCTGCTTGTCATGGGAGTTTTGTGAGTCAAGTTGGTTCAATTCCACCATTGGTGGAGTTCAGAATGCTCTTTGATCCTAGTAACTACAACTCCAAAATGGCAAAATCAATCCTCCCCAACCCCACCAGTGTTCAAATTTGGGCGTATTGGATATTTGTGCCAAATTTTGTCCAGCGAATGAAAATACATCCTTCATATCAGATATTTACATGACGGTTCATAGCAGAAGTAAAATTGCAGTTATGAAGTAGTAATGAAAATAATGTTATGGTTGGGGGTCACCACAACATGAGGAACTGTATTCAGGGATCACGGCATTAGGAAGGTTGAGAAACACTGTTCTAAAGGAAGCTAAAGTCATTTAGTTGACAAAAATGGCCAAGTTATAGCAGATATTTGTCTGCCTTTCTTTGAAAATATACCCTGTGTTGTTTTGTATACTTGCTACTCTCCTGAGAACTGGGTGAAATCTGTATTCTTACCGTCAGAAAATGAACAATATTTGGCATTAAGACTATACGTCATCCTGTTGGAAACAGCAACCTTCTTCAATCCTCTACTAATTATTTGTTATGTATATAATTTAGATTGTATTGTTTATGTGTGTGTTAGTTTTCAGTTTTTCCTTAACTCTTTGATGTGGGAGGGGCTGCAGAACATATGATCAGGTCTGGGCTTGTTCAGGACTCAGACTCCATTTTAGGAACAGTATGCTTCAGACTTCAGTAGGAACAGTATGCTTAGAGACTCCATTGAACTTTCAGACTAGACAAAGTCTCTATTAGACTGTATGTCTAATATCTATTAGTATATGTGTGTGTTGGTGTGCAATTTTTCCTTAACTCTTTTATGTGGGAGGGGCTGCAGACCATGTGATCAGTTCTGGGCTTGTTCAGGACTCAGACTTCAGTAGGAACAGTATGCTTAGAGACTCCATTGGACTTTCAGACTAGACAAAGACTCTATTCGATTGTATGTCTCATATCTATTAGTATATGTGTGTGTTGGTGTGCAATTTTTCCTTAACTCTTTGATGTGGGAGGGGCTGCAGACCATGTAATTAGTCCTGGGCTTGTTCAGGACTCAGGCTCCATTTTAGGAGCAGTATGCTTCAGACTTCAGTAGGAACAGTATGCTTAGAGACTCCATTGAACTTTCAGACTAGACAAAGACTCTATTCGATTGTATGTCTAATATCTATTAGTATATGTGTGTGTTGGAACTTAGTATGCAATTTTTCCTTAACTCTTTGATGTGAGAGGGGCTGCAGACCATGTGATCAGGTCTGGGCTTCTTCAGGACTCAGACTCCATTTAAGGATCAGTATGCTTAGAGACTCCATTGGACTTTCAGACTAGACAAAGACTCTATTCGATTGTATGTCTCATATCTATTAGTATATGTGTGTGTTGGTGTGCTATTTTACTTAACTCTTTGATGTGGGAGGGGCTGCAGACCATGTGATCAGTCCTGGGCTTGTTCAGGACTCAGGCTCCATTTTAGGATCAATATGCTTCAGATTTCAGAAGGAACAGTATCCTTAGAGACTCCACTGAACTTTCAGACTAGACAAAGACTCTATTCAATTGTATGTCTAATATATATTAGTATATGTGTGTGTTGGTATGCAATTTTACCTTAACTCTTTGATGTGAGAGGGGCTGCAGACCATGTGATTAGGTCTGGGCTTCTTCAGGACTCAGACTCCATTTAAGGATCAGTATGCTTAGAGACTCCATTGGACTTTCAGACTAGACAAAGACTATTAGACTGTATGTCTAATATCTATTAGTATATGTGTGTGTTGGTATGCAATTTTACCTTAACTCTTTGATGTGGGAGGGGCTGCAGATCATGTGAACAGGTCTGGGCTTTTTCAGGACTCAGACTCCATTTTAGGATCAATATGCTTCAGATTTCAGAAGGAACAGTATCCTTAGAGACTCCATTGAACTTTCAGACTAGACAAAGACTCTATTAGCCTTTCAGAATAGAAAGATACTTCGGACTATGGACTATTGATTCTAAGAAAAAATCTACATCAAATCCTATCTGTAACTGGATTGATATGCAAAGTACCTGTATGCTGAATACATTAAGTTTATGAGTAAACCACTATGTTACTTTTATAGCAGTCTCCTTATTCTTGTGTGGGAGGGGATTGAGAGCACGATTCAAAGGCAAATATGTTTTAAGGGAGAGTAGATGTATTTTGGGAAGCTAAAAAAAACACCTTTGAAACTCTGCTGAATATATATGTGTGTTTCGTGCATTGGCATATCTCACAGTCTTTCTCTCTCTCTTGCTTATGAAGGTTGGAGTCTGCAAGGGACCACGTCCTGCCCATCGACTACTACTTCCCTCCCCAGAAGACGTGCTTGATCTGCGGGGACGAAGCTTCGGGGTGCCACTACGGAGCCCTCACTTGCGGGAGCTGCAAGGTCTTCTTCAAAAGGGCAGCTGAAGGTAGCCGAGTTTTGTTTTGTACTCGCTGACAATGCCTGGGTTAGGGATTCTGTAATGCATACATAGATACATACATAGGTATATAGGTGCATAAATATTTTCACTTTTATGTATTATATACTAGCTTGGGGATGTGGCGATGCCCGGGTTATTTGAAAAAGGCATTGTTTGTCTGTGCTCCAAGTTTAGTTTAGATCCAAAGTCGCCTGGGTTCAATGGGTGCAAGTGAACTACAACTCCCATATGTAAAATCAGTCACCACCAAACCTCACTGTATGCACAGTTGGCCGTGTTGGGTCTGTGTGCCAAGTTTTGTCATTGCTGGGTTTCAGAATGCTCTCTGGATTCAGGGTGAACTATGACTAACACACAGATGGGTCAGTTCCCCAAACCTCTCCATTATGTTCTGTTGGCCATGGGGACGAGGGGGGGGGGGCTGTGTGCCAAGTTTGGTCCAGATCCATAATTGGTGAGGGTCGCAGTGGTCTCTGGAAGTGAGCGAAAGTACTGCAAATCCCATCATCCTTTGTCAATCCTCTCCCAAACTGCATCAGGATGTAAAGTGGGTCATGGGGGGGTTCTGTGTGCCAAGTTTGGTCCAGGTCTGTAATTGGTGGGGGTTGCAGTGGTTCCAGGAAGTGAGTGAAGGTACTGCAAGTCCCATTGAACATGGTCCATCCTCCTCCCAAAATGTTATGGAAGAAGCAGTGGGCAGTGTGGTGTTGGTGGAGGACATTGGCCGGGCTCTTGGACATGTTCATGGGACTTGCTATAACCTGCCGTGTCTTTGGAGGGAGGGCCATCAGTGTTTCTTGCGTAGTGGGAGCCATAACTATTTGTGAGGGCAGGAGCCTGTCTGCATAAGTGGACATCCTAGTCACATACACATTTACATATACATACACATATACATATGTGTATAGATCTAGATCTAAGGAGCCCCCGGTGGCGCAGTGGGTTAAAGCACTGAGCTGCTGAGCTTGTTGATCGAAAGGTCGCAGGTTCGATTCCAGGGAGCGGCGTGAGCTTCCGCTGTCAGCCCTAGTTTCTGCCAACCTAGCAGTTCGAAAACATGCAAATGTGAGTAGATCAATAGGTACCGCTCTGGCAGGAAGGTAACGGCGCTCCATGCAGTCATGGACCTTGGAGGCGTCTACGGACAACGCTGGCTCTTTGGCTTAGAAATGGAGATGAGCACCACACCCCAGAGTCACACATGACTGGACTTAATGTCAGGGGACTACCTTTACCTATAGATCTAGATATCCTGACAGACCCTTGTGTCTGCAAAGGATCTGTCTTTTGCCAGAACATAGTTACCTGAAACTGTGCCATGAAATTGCATCCCTTTCAGTCCCGGTTTGCCATAGTGTTGCATTGGAACACTTAGCGGTTCCTAGGGATGATTCCTTTCTGGGAGTAAATAAACATCAGAACAATGATAATGAATATGAGTCCTGTGGTCTTTATTTAAATGTGCCTGTGTTCAATGGGCCGCCATTGGCAGGTGTTGTTGGACAGCCAATGGTTATTTCATGTGGATCCTTGATGTAGTCAGATATTTTTTATTTTCCATCTAGAAATTACAGGGAAATTGGCATTCTCATTAGTCTAAATGGTAAGGCAAATGGCTGGCTCCCAATTTGCAAGGAAACGGAGAGGCCCAGCCTTTCAAGGCCCATATATTTGCTCAAACAAGCGCCGCTGTAAATCAAAGAGACGAGGCTGGGAATTTGAGAGCGCCTCCTCGTAATTTCCCTGTTAACACCCGCATCCACTGGCTTCCTGCACTAATAAGTCATCTGCTGTATTTTATGGCATCGTTTAGCAAAGAGGCACTCTCTGGTCCACCAACTGATGTGCCTGGCATCTGGGAGTTGGCCGGCTTTCGTTCCTCTCGTATATTTTCTTCCCAATCCCCTCGGAGGGTCTCCCAGCCCTGGCTTTTCACATTCCTCCCAGAGACAGCGTTGTTTCTGCTCGTGGCTCATATGCTTCTTCCAAAAGGTACAAGAAGTGTTTCCTAGGAGTTCCTAGGAGCCAATCGACACCTTGCGTGGAAAGAGTTGGGACAATTCTGGACATTCCCACCTTTGCGGAGAGTCGGCGTGATGCTATGGTTTGACTCAAACCAGGTTCAAATCCCTGCTCAGCTGTGGAAACTCATTATGAGCAATGGCAAGTCCTACTCCTTCCACATCAGAAGAAGTCGGTGTTGGCAACCTCCTCTGAAAGAAAGAACTGACCCTAAAAACACAATGGTAGAGTTGCTGAATATTCAAGGTGGCTTGATGGCACATAATACCCAACTGATAGACAAATGAGCCAGTTAATGACTTGAGTGTTGGTCAGAGATGTCAGGAGACCAGGCTTCACATCCCACTCTGCCATGAAAACCCATGGATTGATATTGGGTAAGTCATATTCTCCCAGCCTTGGAGGAAAGCAGAAGCAAACTTCCTAGAGGAAACATTACCAAGAAGGTCCTGTGATGGTTGCTACAGAGTGTGAATAATATTTGGGTACCTTCCCCACTGAAAAGTGGTCCTATCAGCATCTCAGAATGGGGATGACTTGGCTTCCAGATGCTGGGCTGCAAATCCTTCTCGATTTTCAGCTAAGCTAACTAGACCTTGTCAGAACTGACCATGGAACAACAGACTGGTTCCAGATTGGGAAAGGCGTCCGGCAAGGCTGCATCCTCTCACCCAGCCTCTTTAACTTGTATGCAGAACACATCATGCGAGGATGTGCGGGGCTTGAGGAATGCAAAGCTGGGGTGAAAATTGCTGTAAGAAACATTAACAACCTCAGATATGCAGATGATACCACTCTGATGGCCAAAAGCGAGGAGGAGCGGAGGAGCCTTCTAACCAAGGTGAAAGAAGAAAGCGCAAAAGCCAGGTTGCAGCTCAACATCAAAAAAACCAAGATCATGGCAACAAGAATGATTGACAACTGAGAAATAGAGGGAGAAAATGTGGAGGCCGTGACAGACTTTGTATTTCTAGGTGGGAAGATGACTGCAGATGCAGACTGTGGCCAGGAAATCAGAAGGCGCTTCCTTCTTGGGAGGAGAGCAATGTCCAATCTCAATACAATAGTAAAGAGCAGAGACATCACACTGACAACCAAGATCCATTGCATAGTCCAAGCCATGGTCTTCCCTGTAGTAACCTACGGATGTGAGAGCTGGACCTTCGGGAAGGCTGAGCGAAGGAAGAGAGATGCTTTTGAGCTGTGGTGTTGGAGGAAAGTTCTGAGAGTGCCTTGGACTGCGAGAAGATCCAACCAGTCCATCCTCCAGGAAATAAAGCCCGACTAAAGCTCATTGGATGGAAGGAGACGAGAGACAAAGCTGAAGTCCTTTGGCCACATCATGAGGAGACAGCAAAGCCTAGAGAAGGGAATGATGCTGGGGAAAGTGGAAGGCAAAAGGAAGAGGGGCCGACCAAGGGCAAGGTGAGTGGATGGCATCCTTGAAGGGACTGGACTGACCTTGAAGGAGCTGGGGGTGGTGACAGCCGACAGGGAGCTCTGGCGTGGGCTGGTCCATGAGGTCACGAAGAGTCAGAGACAACTGAACGAATGAACAACAACTAGCTTGGTGAGAAGACAGGAAATCAAGAGAAGGATGCTGGGAAAAATGTAAGGAAAAAGGAAGAGTGCCCGACCAAGGGCAAGATGGAGGGATGGCATCCTTGAAGGGACTGGCTTGAAGGGAGCTGGGGGTGGTGACAGCTGACAGGGAGCTCTGGCGTGGGCTGGTCAATGAGGTCACGAAGAGTCGGAGACAACTGAACGAATGAACAACAACAAAACTAGACCTTGTATCCAACAGCTTCTGAAAATTGGCATCAGTCCCATCCATTGACTGGACTGAACTTTCTTCTTGGAAGAAAAAGGAGACTTCTTGGTAAAGTAGTTACAGAACCTTGGAGAGCACAACCCATCACTATGGACAATTCATCATTTCAGAAGAAACCCAGCATGAGCTTTGGTGGAAGATCTCTCACAAGGGCTCATATTCATCCCCACTTGTGGGCCGGACACATCATTCTTGGACTGTCGTGCCACCTGAAGCAGTTCCCAGCAGCAATATCACCTCCACTGCAGCATTTCCTGCTCAAAAAGCTGCCGGCTATCTCTGGATCTTCTGCCAACCTTTTCCCATTGAGCAGCAGGAAGAACAGTAAACCGTATGCACAGCGTTGGCTGTCACAAACAATGTCTGGATTTGTCAGGGACGTTTCCTGGCTGCGAGATCTTCGGATGGCATCAGGAGTCTACCATCATCTTTGTTTTCTTTTCCATCGCAAACAATCATACAGCCATGCTGTGAGCAAGGCAGACCTCCGCTTGCAGAGCCGCCATCCAATTTGCACACCTGCATCGATTCGCCAAACTCCAAAGTGAAATAGCAGCAGGTGGTCCTAATTGGGTTTGATGGGAGCTTGACAGGGACGTTGCACACAAGGAAACCGGGAGCAAAACGAGAGAGAGCCATGAGCGTCAGAGAAGGAGGAGTTTTAGTTGACCTGCAACTAAATGAGGCATGAATGGATACAGGAAGATTGTGTTTGGGTGGTTATATCTCAAGGTTGCCTCCTGGTCTTCCAGCCAAGTGTTTCAAATACTTTCCATCCCCTTTGCACAGCGAGAGGAGGCCGTCTTAGAGATGGATCTCAGAGAAGCCAATAAGTTGCTGTGGGGGAAGCTTCAGGAAAAGTATGAGTGTCTTGAAATGAGAAGAGAACATAGATGCAAAATAGAGCCCAAGATCATGCTGTGTCAACGTAACCTAGATGACGGTCACCATAACTATGCCTGATAACATCCCACCAGCATCACTCCTTGAACTGAGAATCATAGAATCCTAGAATCAAAGAGTTGGAAGAGACCTCCTGGGCCATCCAGTCCAACCCCATTCTGCCAAGAAGCAGGAATATTGCATTCAAATCACCCCTGACAGATGGCCATCCAGCCTCTGCTTAAAAGCT